TCCCAGGACCCTGAGACCATGACCCGAGCCGAAGGCAGAAGCCCAACCCGCTGAGCCACCCAGGTACCCCAAGAGAAAGAATCTTAAACAGGCTCCATTCCCAGCTAGTTTGGGGCTCCGTCTCACAATCCCAAGATCATGACCTGAGTCAAAATCAAGAGAAGGACCCTTAAACTAACTGCACCTCCCAGATGCCCCCCCCTTTTTAAATGTATTTTTTATTTTAAGGAGGCGCATGCCCAACATGGGGCTTAAACTCATGACCTTGAGATCAAGAGCTGCGCTCTCACCAACTGAGCCAGCCGGGTGCCCCTCATTGCACATTTATAGTTGAATCATTTATCTTTTTATTATATGAGAGTTTTTTTAACTATTGTATTTTTCATGTCTTTTATCTCCAATTCTTTACCTGCTGTTCCTGTTTTTTATTTCCAGTATTCTCCCTTTTTTGAGATAATTTGTAATACTCTAATAAAATTCTTTTCTCTGTCCGATCCATTACTTAGGACAGATACACATGCTGTACCAGAGAAAACATCTTTTATAGTACTTTCTTTCTTCAGTTGCCTCATATTTTCCTATAAGCCCATGTCCCTGGGAGACAGTTAGCCACTCTGATTGGTAACGTGCTTCTGGGACCTAGACGCAAAAGCCCAGACCCTGTCCTCTGCCACTCCATTGCGTGCAGGGACTGGGGGTGGGACAGTAGAGGACAGCCCCTGGTCCCAGCATGGGCTCAGTCACTCCCTGTTTGTAGCCACTGCCTGTGCCCTCCCAGACACACACAGTGCCTTGTCCTGTGTGCTATTCGTCGTCAAGAGCTGTCTCCTTGAGTTGTAATTACGTAACTCACCAAATGCATAGACAGTAGGGAGGGAGGTTCATTCAGACGCCAGCCAGCTCACGGTCCCCTTGACCTCTTGTTATCTCTTTCTCATACACATGTGCGTATTCACCCTGTGCTAGGCTCCCACACTGCCTTGATGGTACCCTGCTGCCTCTGGGGGGTATGGGGCTGCTTACCGGCACTGCCCACTGCCAGGCAGTGACCGCACAAGTAGAACGCAATCCCCAATCTGTCACCCACCTTCACACCTTGGCACCCTTCTGCTCTGAGCTTGCTGTCCGCCCAGCCCCCAGGGCCCGGGTCTGACATCCATCTCATTCCTCCTCACTTCCGTGCCTTCTCTAGGTTTTATTTCTGTGGAGAAAGTCAGTGGGCCTTATGTGTTTATCATCTTGTTTGGAACTCGAAAGGACTGATTCTGAGAGAGCTTTCTATACAAGTATGGAATTAAAGTGTACACCTGAAACTAATAACAATGTTGTATGTTATTTATACTTCAATTAAAAAATAAAAAAAAGAAAAGCAAGCTTTCTGGAGAAGTTAGCATTGGGAGGGATCTAGAATGGCCACAGTTAGAATAATGCCCAGGGCTGACATTCGGCGGGTATCCTCGTTTGGCTAAATCCGATACTTCTGGCCAGTCTCCATTCAGAGTGGTTGGTGCAGGTTAAGTATTTGAATATCCACCCCCCCAATACCATTACCTGACACAATTTGCAGTATTTGATTTACTCCGTATGGACTGTCCAAGGGGGATGGGTAGTAATTGTTATCACTATTTCAGAAGATTGGGAGACACTAAGAGAGACTGTGACCTGCCCAGGGTTACACAGCTAGGAAGAAGCAGAGGCAGGGACTCACATCAGGAGTCTTTTCTGTGAAATGCCAAGCTGACTCTCCAGTATTTCCCGCCTCTGTACCCGACACTTTCAGGAAGAGGAAGATTTAGGGGACCAGAAGTTAAGTGCCCGGAGGTCAGGCGCCCGCTGAGGATGGGAGAGCAGGCTCTGGTTTTATGGGAACAATACTGATATGTAAGTCAAAATCTCTTCCCCAAATAGTTCCCAGTCTAATGGGGAGCCCAGAGGTTCACCCTGAAGAAGTAAACAAGAATATGAAGCTGAAAATACCATGAGGACAGACAGTAAGTGATATGGAACTCAGAAAAAGAAAAACACCGTCTCACCAGGGCAGGCAGAGTTTAACTGAGCAGATTCAGCTGGGAGTCTGATAGGGCAGTAGGCAGCAGTGATGCAAGAATTCGTGGAATCAGGGGCGCCTGGGTGGCTCAGTGGGTTAAACCCTCTGCCTTTGGCTCAGGTCATGATCCCAGGGTCCTGGGATTGAGCCCTGCATTGGACTCTCTGCTCAGCAGGGAGCCTTGCTTCCTCCAGTCTCTCTCTCTGCCTGCATCTCTGCTTGCTTGTGATCTCTATCAAATAAATAAATTTAAAAAAAAAAGAATTAGTGGAATCAAAGAGTTTTAGGAAACTTACAAAAATATCTGATCCGGGGGCGCCTGGGTGGCTCAGTCAGTTAAGCGTCTGCCTTCGGCTTGGTCACGATCCCAGAGTCCTAGAATCAAGTCGCACATCAGGCTCCCTGCTCAGCAGGGAATCTGCTTCTCCCTCTCCCTCTGCCTCTCCCCCTACTCATGCTCACTCTCTCTCTCTGTCCGATAAATAATAAATAAAATCTTTAAAAAAATATAAAATCCAGCAATGTCACTAACCATGTCTTGGTATTGGCTGTTCCGGGTCCATTTTTTCAAGTATATGACAAACTGACTTTGTTAGTTTCAAATACACTTTTTTATTTCAGGGAAGGTTTCTTCAATTGTAATTTTTAGTATTCTGGGGACTTTTTGTTTTCTTCATTGTGTTTAGGAACTCTTCTTATCTGTATGTTAGAACTTCTTTGCCTGTCTTCAGTGTTATCACATTCTCTCAAATCCATTTTTATCTGTTTTATCTCTTAACATTTTATTGTGAAAGTTTTCAGCCCTGCAACAAAGTCAAAAGAATTCCACACAAGCACCTAGACACACCATTTAGTTTTTTTTTTTTTTTTTTTTTAAAGATTTTATTTATTTATTTGTCAGAGAGAGAGAGGGAGAGAGAGCAAGCACAGGCAGACAGAATGGCAGGCAGAGGCAGAGGGAGAAGCAGGCTCCCTGATGAGCAAGGAGCCCGATGTGGGACTCGATCCCAGGATGCTGGGATCATGACCTGAGCCGAAGGCAGCTGCTTAACCAACTGAGCCACCCAGGCGTCCCAACACACCATTTAGTTTTATCGTTGATGTTTTACTATACTTATTTTATCATCATTGATTTTTATCTATTGTATTTTTTTTTTTAATTTTATTTATTTATTTGACAGACAGAGATCACAAGTAGGCAGAGAGAGAGGGGTAAGCAGGGTCCCCGCTGAGCAGAGAGCCAGATGTGGGGCTCGATCCCAGGAACACAGGACCATGACCTGAACCAAAGGCAGAGGCTTAACCCACTGAGCCACCCAGGTGCCCCTATCTATTGTATTTTTGATACATTTCAAGTAATTTGTAGACAGTAGTACCTTTCCCTCTAAATAGTTCAGCATGCGTTTCATTGACTAGAATTCCATATTTGTTTATAGTTTTTTCCTTTTATTTTTTATTATTATTTTTTTAAAGATTTTATTTATTTATTTGACAGAGAGAAAGATCACAAGTAGGCAGAGAGGCAGGCAGAGAGAGAGGGGGAAGCAGGCTCCCTGCTGAGCAGAGAGCCCGATGCGGGGCTTGATCCCAGGACCCTGAGATCATGACCTGAGCCGAAGGCAGAGGCTTAACCCACTGAGCCACCCAGGCGCCCCTAGTTTTTTCCTTTTAATTTAAAATTTATATACAGTGAAATGCACAATTCTCAAGATTATATTCACTGAGGGCTTTGGGGGTTCCTTTTTTTAGCTTCATTGAGATATAATTTACATACTATAAAATTCATTTGTTGTAATGTATGCTTTTGGTGATTTTTAGTTAATTTACCAAGTTATGCAGCTAACACACCAGTCTAATTTTAGAATATTTTCATCAACCTGAAAAGAACCTCATGCCCATTTTTAGTCACTCCTTATTCTGCCCACCATCAGCCTTTAAGTGACCACTGATCTAATTTCTCTCTATATTTTCCTTTTCTGGGCATTTCATATAAATGCAGTCATATAATATGTGGTCCTTTGTATCTGGCTTTTCTAATTCAGCATGTGTTTGAGGTTCAACCTGGTTGTGGCATGTATCAGTAGTTCAGTCTTTTTTTTTTTTTTTTAAGATTTTATTTATTTATTTATTTGACCGGCAGAGGTCACAAGTAGGCAGAGAGGCAGGCAGAGAGGGGGAAGGGAAGCAGGCTCCCTGCCCAGCAGAAAGCCTGATGCGGGGCTCCATCCCAGGACCCTGGGATCATGACCTGAGCTGAAAGCAGAGGCTTTAACCCCCTGAGCCACCCAGGTGCCCCTAGTTCAGTCTTTTTTATTGCCCAATAAAATTACATTGAGTGGATACACCACATTCCACTTACCATTTTATTTACATGTGAATTATTCCCTATTGGCTAAATGAACCAGGCTGCAATGAACCTTCTTGTATAGGCTTGTTTTTTTTAAGATTTTATTTATTTATTAGAGAGAAAGAGAATGAGAGAGGGGAGAAGGTCAGAGGGAGAAGCAGACTCCCCATGGAGCTGGGAGCCTGATGTGGGACTCGGTCCCAGGACTCCAGGATCATGACCTGAGCTGAAGCCAGTCGCTTAACCAACTGAGCCACCCAGGCGCCCTGTATAGGTTTTTATCTGGGCATATGCCTTCATTTCTCCCTGATACAGGCCTAGGAGTGGAATTGCTGGGTCATGTGTTAATGGTTAGCATTTTGAGAAACTGCGTCACTTTTCTCAAGTGGCTGCACCGTGTTATGTTCCCGCCATCCATGTGTGAGGGTCCTGGTGTCTCTGCATCTGAGCTTCACCAGGGCGGGAGCGCTAGTCTCAGGTTCATCTTTCCATGCCCGGGGCCTACCGGGGGCATGCCATGCAGAGGCCGTCGGTGAGCATTGCTTTGCTCACGGGACTCCCTTAGCCCATCCTTCTCACTTTGTTCCTTTTGTCATTCTTTTCTAGGGACTCAGCTGGGAGTTTCCAGTTGTCTGGAAAAATGCCAGAAGAACTCACCAAATGCTGGGAGGCAGCCCTTCTCTGGAAAGTCCTTTTATCTGGATCTGCCTGCTGGCAAAAGTCTCCAGTTTTTGACGGGGGCCATCCAGCAGCTGGGTGGGGTATGTGAGCTGCTCCTGACCTGTGATGTCATGTGCCTTTGTGGGTGGTAGGGCAGGAGCTGGAGAGGAGTTCTGTCTGTGACTTCCAGGTATTTTCAGTGGTATGACTACAGTTTCCAAAGCCACCCTTTTTAAAAATGAAGTTAGGGGCGCCTGGGTGGCTCAGTGGGTTAAGCCGCTGCCTTCGGCTCGGGTCATGATCTCAGGGTCCTGGGATCGAGTCCCGCATCGGGCTCTCTGCTCGGCAGGGAGCCTGCTTCCCTCTCTCTCTCTCTCTGCCTGCCTCTCTGTCTACTTGTGATCTCTCTCTGTCAAATAAATAAATAAAATCTTAAAAAAAAAAAAAAAAAAATGAAGTTAGAGGGGCGCCTGCGTGGCTCAGTGGGTTAAGCCTCTGCCTTCGGCTCAGGTCATGATCTCAGGGTCCTGGGATCGAGCCCTGCATCGGGCTCTTTGCACAGCAGGAAGCCTGTTTCCCCCTCTCTCTGCCTACTTGTGATCTCTGTTGAGTAAAGAAAAATTAAAAAAAAAAAAAAAAAGCTTTAAAAAAAAAAATGAAGTTAGAGGTGCCTGGTGGCTCAGTAGGTTAAGCGGCTGCCTTCAGCTCAGGTCATGATCTCAGGGTCCTGGGATCAAGTCCCACATCAGGCTCCCACTCAAATAAATAAAGTGGTTTTGTTATTTTTTAAATGGCTTTTAGTGTATTCACAGAGATATGCAAGCTGTGTGAATACACAGTCAGACTTAGAACATTTTTCATCACCCCCAAAAGAAAAAAGAAGCCCATAACCATTGTCAGTCACTGCCCATTTCTTCTCAGTACCCCTAATCTGGATAAGCATTCATCTACTTCTTCTTTTTTTTTTTTTTTTTTAAGATTTTATTTATTTATTTGACAGAGATCAGAAGTCAGCAGAGAAGCAGGCAGAGAGAGTGAGGGGGGGAAGCAGGCTCCCCGCTGAGCAGAGATTCCCGACGTGGGGCTCGATCCCAGGACCCTGAGACCATGGCCCAAGCCGAAGGCAGAGGCTCAACCCACTGAGCCACCCAGGCGCCCCATGCATTCATCTACTTCTGTCTCTATTCTTTTTCCCTTTTTAAAATTTTATTATTATTATTATTTTAGAGTGGGGAGGGAGAGAGGGCAAGGGAGAAAGAGAATCTTTTTTTTTTTTTTTTTTTTTTAAGATTTTATTTTTTTATTTGACAGAGAGATCACAAGCAGGCAGAGAGGCAGGCAGAGAGAGAGGAGGAAGCAGGCTCCCCTAGAGAGCAGAGAGCCCGATGCGGGGCTCCATCCCAGGACTCCGAGATCATGACCTGAGCCGAAGGCAGCGGCTTAACCCACTGAGCCACCTAGGCGCCCCGAGAAAGAGAATCTTAAGCAGACTCTGCCCAGTGGAGAGCCCCACATGAGTCTCTATCTCCCAACCCTGAGATCGTGACCTGAGCTGAAATCAAGAGTCAGATACCGAACCAACAGAACCACCCAGGTGTCCCATTCTTTTATTTTTTTTTTAATGCTCATTTTCTGTGTAGCTATGATCATGAATACATTTTTGATTACCAACATTTTGCCCACAACCTTAATGCATTAGCACTTTCCTATCATTATTGTCTCTCATATGCATTATTTGTAATGAGCATATAATATTTTTTGAGCGGGTTATTAGTTTACTTAATCGTTCCCCTGTGGACATTGAGATTATTTCTAAATTTTAGCTCTTTTAAATAACACTGGTAAAAAAAACTTTGGGTAAAAAGCATTTGCCATGTTTGTGTCCTTTAAAATATTTTTAAGGTGCGTGTGTGTCTTAGTAAGCAATTGGCATGAGTAACTCTTGTGTTTAGAAAATAGGATGATGGTGCTTGGCCCCAAAGAGGCAGGCAGCTGGGGAAATGACTTGAATAAGCTTGGAATGCAGAGAATTGTCAAAGGAACAGAAGCTCAGGGATATGGAAACTCAGCAGTGGGGAATGTACCAAATGATGATTATACACCCGCACCTGGCCCCAAATTACTTTTGAACTTTTAGTCTGTTCTATCATTTAGCCTTTGGTGTGTAAAAAACCACCCCAGAACTGGGGCATAAAACAAGTTATTGAAGCACCTAGGTGGCTCAGTTGGTTGAGTGTCCAACTCTTTTTTTTTTTTTTTTTTTAAGATTCATTTATTTTAGAGAGAGAGCACATGCGTGCGCGTGAGCCCGGGGAGGGGCTAAAGGCAAGGGAGAGAAGCAGACTCCCAGCTGAGCAGGGAACCCGACATGGGGCTCAATCTCATGATCTCGAGATCATGACCTAAGCCGAAATCAAGAGTTGGACACTGAAATGACTGAACCACCCAGGCGCCCTGAGCATCCAGCTCTCAATTTCAGCTCAGGTCACGATCTCGGGGTTGTGAGAGCGAGTCTTGTGTTGTGCTCTGTGCTTCAGATTCTCTCTCCTTCTCCCTCTCCCTCGTCCCCCCGCTCTCTCACCACCTGCTTGTCTGCAAGTGCTCTCTCGCTCGCTCACTCTCTCCAAGACCCTTTCTGGTTTCACATTTTTGCTCCTTTTGGTGGTATGGCCAAGATCACAGGTGCAATGTCAGAATGCCACAGTGCGTCTTCACAGGAAAGCTGTGACCTAACTAAGCTATTCTTTTTCTTTTTTTTTTTTTTTTAAGATTTTATTTATTTATTTGACAGAGAGATCACAAGTAGGCAGAGAGGCAGGCAGAGAGGGGGGCGGTAAGCAGGCTCCCTGCTGAGCAGAGAGCCCGATGTGGGGCTTAATCCCAGGACCCTGAGATCATGACCTGAGCCGAAGGCAGAGGCTTAACCCATTGAGCCACCCAGGCACACCTTAATTTTTTTTTTTTAAAGATTTTATTTGTGTGGGGGCGCCTGTGTAGCTCAGTGGGTTAAAGCCTCTGCCTTCGGCTCAGGTCATG